GGTGATGGAAAGCAGGAGAATGGGGCGGGGTGATGGAGAGCGGGAGAATGGGGCGGGGTGATGGAAGGAGGGAGAATGGGGCGGGGTGATGGAAACCGGGAGAATGGGGCGGGGTGATCGAAAGCGGGAGAATGGGGCGGGGTGATGAAAAGCGGGAGAATGGGCCGGGGTGATGGAAGGAGGGAGAATGGGGCGGGGTGATGAAAGGAGGGAGAATCATGCAGGGTGATGGAAGAAGGGAGAATAGGGCGGGGTGATGGAAAGCGGGAGAATGGGGCGGGGTGATGGAAAGCGGGAGAATGGGGCGGGGGTGATGGAAAGCGGGAGAATGGGGCGAGATGATGGAAAGCGGGAGAATGGGGCGGGGTGATGAAAAACGGGAGAATGGGGCGGGGTGATGGAAAGCGAGAGAATGGGGCGGGGAGATGGAAAGCGGGAGAATGGGGTGGGTTGATGGAAAGCGGGAGAATGGGGCGGGGTGATGGAAAGTGGGAGAATGGGCCGGGTTGATAGAAGGAGGGAGAATGGGGAGGGGTGATGGAAGGAGGGAGAATCGGGCGGGGTGATGAAAGGAGGGAGAATGGGGCGGGGTGATGGAAAGCGGGAGAATGGGGCGGGGTGATGGAAAGCGGGAGAATGGGGCGGGGTGATGGAAGGAGGGAGAATGGGGCGGGGTGATGGAAAGCGAGAGAATGGGGCAGGGTGATGGAAAGCTTGAGAATGGGACGGGGTGATGGAAAGCGGGAGAATGGGGAGGGGTGATGGAAACCGGGAGAATGGGGCGGGGTGATGGAAAGCGGGAGAATGGGCCGGGTTGATGGAAGGAGGGAGAATGGGGTTGGGTGATGGAAGGAGGGAGAATCGGGCGGGGTGATGAAAAGCGGGAAAATGGCGCGGGGTGATGGAAAGCGGGAGAATGGGGCGGGGTGATGGAAAGCGGGAGAATGGGGCGGGGTGATGGAAAGCGGGAGAATGGGGCGGGGTGATGGAAAGCGGGAGAATGGGGCGGGGTGATGGAAAGCGGGAGAATGGGGCGGGATGATGGAAAGCGGGAGAATGGGGCGGGGTGATGGAAAGCAGGAGAATGGGGCGGGGTGATGGAAAGCGGGAGAATGGGGCGGGGTGATGGAAAGCGGGAGAATAGGGCGGGGTGATGGAAAGCGGGAGAATGGGCCGGGGTGATGGAAGGAGGGAGAATGGGGCGGGGTGATGGAAGGAGGGAGAATCAGGCAGGGTGATGGAAGGAGGGAGAATGGGGCGGGGTGATGGAAAGCGGGAGAATGGGGTGGGGTCATGGAAAGCGGGAGAATGGGCCGGGGTGATGGAAAGCGGGAGAATGGTTCGAGATGATGGAAAGCGGGAGAATGGGGCGAGGAGATGGAAAGCGGGAGAATGGGGCGGGGTGATGGAAAACGGGAGAATGGGGCGGGGTGATGGAAAGCGGGAGAATGGGGCGGGGAGATGGAAAGCGGGAGAATGGGCGGGTTGATGGAAAGCGGGAGAATGGGGCGGGGTGATGGAAAGCGGGAGAATGGGCGGGGTTGATGGAAGGAGGGAGAATGGGGCGGGGTGATGGAAGGAGGGAGAATCGGGCGGGGTGATGAAAGGAGGGAGAATGGGACGGGATGATGGAAAGCGGGAGAATGGGGAGGGGTGATGGAAAGCGGGAGAGTGGGGCGGGGTGATGGAAAGCGGGAGAATGGGCCGGGTTGATGGAAGGAGGGAGAATGGGGCGGGGTGATGGAAGGAGGGAGAATCGGGCGGGGTGATGAAAGGAGGGAGAATGGGGCGGGGTGATGGCAAGCGGGAGAATGGGGCGGGGTGATCGAAAGCGGGAGAATGGGGCGAGGTGATGGAAAGCAGGAGAATGGGGCGGAGTGATGGAAAGCGAGAGAATGGGGCAGGGTGATGGAAAGCGGGAGAATGGGAAGGGGTGATGGAAAGCGGGAGAATGGGGCGGGGTGATGGAAAGCGGGAGAATAAGGTGGGGTGATGGAAGCGGGAGAATGGGGCGGGGTGATGGAAAGCGGGAGAATGGGGCGGGTGATGGAAAACGGGAGAATGGGGTGGGGTGATGGAAAGCGGGAGAATGGGGCGGGATGATGGAAAGCGGGAGAATGGGGCGGGGTGATGGAAGGAGGGAGATTGGGGCGGGGTGATGGAAGGAGGTAGAATGGGGCGGGGTGATGGAAAGCGGGAGAAAGCGGCGGGGTGATGGAAAGCGGAAGAATGGGGTGGGGTGATGGAAGCGTGAGAATGGGGCCGGGTGATGGAAAGCGGGAGAATGGGGCGGGGTGATGGAAAGCGGGAGAATGGGGCGGGGTGATGGAAAGCGGGAGAATGGGGCGGGGTGATGGAAAGAGGGAGAATGGGGCGGGGTGATGGAAGGAGGGAGAATGGGGCGGGGTGATGGAAAGCGGGAGAATGGGGCGGGGTGATGGAAAGAGGGAGAATGGGGCGGGGTGATGGAACGCGGGAGAATGGGGCGGGGTGATGGAAAGCGGGAGAATGGGGCGGGGTGATGGAAAGCGGGAGAATGGGGCGGGGTGATGGAAAGCGGGAGAATGGGGCGGGGTGATGGAAAGCGGGAGAATGGGGCGGGGTGATGGAAAGCAGGAGAATGGGGCGGGGTGATGGAGAGCGGGAGAATGGGGCGGGGTGATGGAAGGAGGGAGAATGGGGCGGGGTGATGGAAACCGGGAGAATGGGGCGGGGTGATCGAAAGCGGGAGAATGGGGCGGGGTGATGGAAAGCAGGAGAATGGGGCGGGGTGATGGAAAGCGAGAGAATGGGGCAGGGTGATGGAAAGCGGGAGAATGGGGCGGGGTGATGGAAAGCGGGAGAATGGGGCGGGGTGATGGAAAGCGGGAGAATTGGGCGGGGTGATGGAAAGCGGGAGAATGGGGCGGGGTGAAGGAAAGCGGGATAATGGGCCGGGGTGATGGAAGGAGCGAGAATGGGGCAGGGTGATGGAAGGAGGGAGAATCAGGCGGGGTGTTGGATGGAGGGAGAATGGGGCGGGGTGATGGAAAGCGGGAGAATTAGGCGGGGTGATGGAAAGCGGGAGAATGGGGCGAGGTGATGGAAAGTGGGAGAATGGGGCGGGGTGATGGAAAGCAGAAGAATGGGGCGGGGTGATGGAAAGCTGGAGAATGGGACATGGTGATGGAAAGCGGGAGAATGGGGCGGGGTGATGGAAAGCGGGAGAATGGGGCTGGGTGATGGAAAGAGGGAGAATGGGGTGGGGTGATGGAAAGCGGGAGAATGGGGCGGGGAGATGGAAAGCGGGAGAACGGGGCGGGGTAATGGAATGAGGGAGAACGGGGCGGGGTGATGGGAAGCAGGAGAATGGGGCTGGGTGATGGAAAGAGGGAGAATGGGGTGGGGTGATGGAAAGAGGGAGAATGGGGCTGGGTGATGGGAAGAGGGAGAATGGGGCTGGGTAATGGAAAGACGGAGAATGTGGATGGGTGATGGAAAGCGGGATAATGGGGCGGGGTGTTTGAACGAAGGGGAATGGGGCTGGGTGATGGAAAGAGGGAGAATGGGGCGGGGTGATGGAAAGCGGGAGAATGGGGCGGGGTGATGGAAAGTGGGAGAACGGGGCGGGGTAATGGAAAGAGGGAGAATGGGGCGGGGTGATGGAAAGATAGAGAATGGGGCGGGGTGATGGAAAGCGGGAGAATGGGTCGGGGCAATAGAAAGAGGGAGAATTGGACGGGGCGATGGAAAGCGAGAGAACGGGGCGGGGTGATGGAATGAGGGAGAATGGGGCGGGGTGATGGAAAGAGGGAGAATGGGGCGGTGTGATGGAAAGAGGGAGAATGGGGTGGGGTGATGGAAAGAGGGAGAATGGGGTTGGGTGATGGAAAGAGGGAGAATGGGGCTGGGTGATGGAAAGAGGGAGAATGGGGCGGGGTGATGGAAAGCGGGAGAATGGGGCGGGGTGATGGAAAGAGGGAGAATGGGGGGGGGGGGGCGATGGCAAGAGGGAGAATGGGGCGGGGTGATGGAAAGCGGGAGAATAGGGTGGGGTGATGGAAAGAGGGAGAACGGGGCGGGGTGATGGAAAGAGGGAGAATGGGGCGGGGTGATGGAAAGAGGGAGAATGGGGCGGGGTGATGGAAAGAGGGAGAATGGGGCTGGGTGATGGAAAGAGGGAGAATGGGGCGGGGCGATGGAAAGCGGGAGAATGGGGCAGGGCGATGGAAAGAGGGAGAATGAGGCGGGGTGATGGAAAGCGGGAGAATGGGGCGGGGTGATTGAAAGAGGGAGAATGGGGCGGGGCGATGGGAAGAGGCAGAATGGGGCGGGGTGATGGAAAGAGGGAGAATGGGGCGGGTTGATGGAAAGCGGGAGATTGGGGCGGGGCGATGGAAAGCGGGAGAATAGGGCGGGGCGACGGAAAGCGGGAGAATGGGGCGGGGTGATGGAAAGCGGGAGAATGGGGCAGGGTGATGGAAAGAGGGAGAATGGGGCGGGCTGATGGATGGAGGGAGAATGGGGCGGGGTGATGGAAAGAGGGAGAATGGGGCGGGGAGATGGAAAGCAGGAGAATGGGGCGGGGCGATGGAAAGAGGGAGAATGGGGCGGGGTGATGGAAGGAGGGAGAATGAGGCGGGGTGATGGAAATCGGGAGAATGGGGCGGGGTGATGGAAAGCGGGAGAATGGGGCGGGGTGATGGAAAGAGGGAGAATGGGGCGGGGTGATGGAAAGAGGGAGAATGGGGCTGGGTGATAGAGGGGCTGGGTGATGGAAAGAGGTGGGGCTGGGTGGTGGAAAGAGGGAGAATGGGGCGGGGCGATGGAAAGCGGGAGAATGGGGCGGGGCTACGAAAAGAGGGAGAATGAGGCGGGGTGATAGAAAACGGGAGAATGGGGCGGGGTGATGGAAAGAGGGAGAATGGGGCGGGGCGATGGGAAGAGGCAGAATGGGGCGGGGTGATGGAAAGAGGGAAAATAGGGCGGGGTGATGGAAAGTGGGAGAATGGGGCGGGGTGATGGGAAGCGGGAGAATGGGGCGGGGAGATGGAAAGCAGGAGAATGGGGCGGGGCGATGGAAAGAGGGAGAATGGGACGGGGCGATGGAAAGAGGGAGAATGAGGCGGGGTGATGGAAAGCGGGAGAATGGGGCGGGTGATGGAAAGAGGGAGAATGGGGTGGGATGATGGAAAGAGGGAGACTGGGGCTGGGTGATGGAGGGGCTGGGTGATGGAAAGAGGTGGGGCTGGGTGGAGGAAAGAGGGAGAATGGGGCGGGGCGATGGAAAGCGGGAGAATGGGGCGGGGCGATGAAATGAGGGAGAATGAGGCGGGGTGATGGAAAGAGGGAGAATGGGGCGGGGCGAGGGGAAGAGGCAGAATGGGGCGGGGTGAAGGAAAGAGGGAGAATGGGGCGGGGTGATGGAAAGCGGGAGATTGGGGCGGGGCGATGGAAAGCGGGAGAATGGGGCTGGGTGATGGAAAGCGGGAGAATGGGGCGGGGTGATGGAAAGCGGGAGAATGGGGCGGGGTGATGGAAAGCGGGAGAATGGGGCGGGGTGATGGAAAGCAGGAGAATGGGGCGGGGGTGATGGAAGGCGGGAGAATGGGGCGGAGTGATGGAAGGCGGGAGAATGAGGCGGGATGGTAGAAGGAGGGAGAATGGGGCGGGGTGATGGAAAGCGGGAGAATAGGGCAGGGTGATGGAATGCGGGAGAATGGGACGGGGTGATGGAAAGCGGGAGAATGGGGCGGGGTGATGAAAAGTGGGAGAATGGGGCGAGGTGATGGAAGGAGGAAGAATGGGTCGGGGTGATGGAAGGAGGGAGAATGGGGCGGGGTGATGGAAAGCGGGAGAATGGGGCGGGGTGATGGAAAGCGGGAGAATGGGGCTGGGTGATGGAAAGCGGGAGAAGGGGGCGGGGTGATGGAAAGCGGGAGAATGGGGCGGGGTGATGGAAAGCGGGAGAATGGGGCGGGGTGATGGAAAGCGGGAGAATGGGGCGGGGTGATGGAAAGCGAGAGAATGGGGCGGGGTGATGGAAAGCGGGAGAGTGGGGCGGGGTGATGGAAGGAGGGAGAATGGGGCGGGGTGATGGAAGGAGGGAGAATGGGGCGGGGTGATGGAAAGCGGGAGAATGGGGTGGGGTGATAGAAAGCGGGAGAATGGGGCGGGGTGATGAAAAGCGGGAGAATGGGGCGGGGTGATGGAAAGCGGGAGAATGGGGCGGGGTGATGGAAAGCGGGAGAATGGGGCGGGGTGATGGAAAGCGAGAGAATGGGGCGGGGTGATGCACAGCGGGAGAATGGGGCGGGGTGATGGAAAGCGGGAGAATGGGGCGGGGTGATGGAAGGAGGGAGAATGGGGCGGGGTGATGGAATGCGGGACAACGGGGCGGGGTGATGGAAAGCGGGAGAATGGCGCGGGGTGATGGAAGGAGGGAGAATGGGGCGGGGTGATGGAAAGCGGGAAACTGGGGCGGGGTGATGGAAAGCGGGAGAATGGGGCGGGGTGATGGAAAGCGGGAGAAGGGGGCGGGGTGATGGAAAGCGGGAGAATGGGGCGGGGTGATGGAATGCGGGAGAATGGGGCGGGTTGATGGAAAGGAGGAGAATGGGGCGGGGTGATGCACAGTGGGAGAATGGGGCGGGGTGATGGAAAGCGGGAGAATGGCGCGGGGTGATGGAAGGAGGGAGAATGGGGCGGGGTGATGGAAAGCGGGAAACTGGGGCGGGGTGATGGAAAGCGGGAGAATGGGGCGGGGTGATGGAAAGCGGGAGAAGGGGGCTTGGTGATGGAAAGCGGGAGAATGGGGCGGGGTGATGGAAAGCGGGAGAATGGGGCGGGGTGATGGAAAGGAGGAGAATGGGGCGGGGAGATGGAAAGCGGGAGAATGAGGCGGGGAGATGGAAAGCGGGAGACTGGGGCGGGGTGATGGAAGGAGGGAGAATGGGGCGGGGTGATGGAAAGCGGGAGAATGGGGCGGGGTGATGGAAAGCGGGAGAATGGGGCGGGGTGATGGAAAGCGAGAGAATGGGGCGGGGTGATGCACAGCGGGAGAATGGGGCGGGGTGATGGAAAGCGGGAGAATGGGGGGGGGGTGATGGAAGGAGGGAGAATGGGGCGGGGTGATGGAATGCGGGACAACGGGGCGGGGTGATGGAAAGCGGGAGAATGGCGCGGGGTGATGGAAGGAGGGAGAATGGGGCGGGGTGATGGAAAGCGGGAAACTGGGGCGGGGGTGATGGAAAGCGGGAGAATGGGGCGGGGTGATGGAAAGCGGGAGAAGGGGGCGGGGTGATGGAAAGCGGGAGAATGGGGCGGGGTGATGGAAAGCGGGAGAATGGGGCAGGGTGATGGAAAGGAGGAGAATGGGGCGGGGTGATGGAAAGCGGGAGAATGGGGCGGGGTGATGGAAAGCGGGAGAATTGGGCGGGGTGATGGAAAGCGGGAGAATGGGGCGAGGTGATGGAAAGCGGGAGAATGGGGCGGGGTGATGGAAAGCGGGAGAATGGGGCGGGGTGATGGAAAACGGGAGAATGGGGCGGGGTGATGGAAAGCCGGAGAATGGGGAGGGGTGATGGAAAGCGGGAGACTGGGGCGGGGTGATGGAAGGAGGGAGAATGGGGCGGGGTGATGGAAAGCGGGAGAATGGGGCGGGGTGATGGAAACCGGGAGAATGGGGCGGGGTGATGGAAGGAGGGAGAATGGGGTGGGGTGATGGAAAGCGGGAGAATGGGGCGGGGTGATGGAAAGCTGGAGAATGGGGCGGGGTGATGGAAAGCGGGAGAATGGGGCGGGGTGATGGAAACCGGGAGAATGGGGCGGGGTGAGAATGGGGCGCGGTGATGGAAAGCGGGAGAATGGTGCGGGGTGATGGAAGGAGGGAGAATCGGGCGGGGTGATGGAAGGAGGGAGAATGGGGCGGGGTGATGGAAAGAGGGAGAATGGGGCGGTGTGATGGAAAGCGGGAGAATGGGGCGGTGTGATGGAAAGCGGGAGAATGGGGCGGGGTGATGGAAGGAGGGAGAATGGGGCGGGGTGATGGAAGGAGGTAGAATGGGGCGGGGTGATGGGAAGCGGGAGAATGTGGCGGGGTGATGGAAGGAGGGAGAATGGGGCGGGGTGATGGAAAGCGGGAGAATGGGGCGGGGTGATGGAAAGCGGGAGAATGGGGCGGGGTGATGGAAAGCGGGAGAATGGGTTGGGGTGATGGAAAGCAGGAGAATGGGGTGGGGTGATGGAAAGAGGGAGAATGGGGCGGGGTGATGGAAAGCGGTAGAATATGGCGGGGTGATGGAAAGCGGGAGAATGGGGCGGGGTGATGGAAAGCAGGAGAATGGGGCGGGGTGATGGAAGGAGGGAGAATGGGGCGGGTTGATGGAAAGCGGGTGAATAGGGCGGGGTGATGGAAAGCGGGAGAATGGGGCGGGGTGATGGAGAGCGGGAGAATGGGGCGGGCTGATAGAAAGCGGGAGAATGGGGCGGGGTGATGGAAAGCGGGAGAATGGGGCGGGGTGATGGAGAGCGGGAGAATGGGGCGGGTGATGGAAGGAGGGAGAATGGGGTGGGGTGATGGAAGGAGGGAGAATGGGGCGGGGTGATGGAAGCGGGAGAATGGGGCGGGGTGATGGAAAGCGGGAGATTGGGGCGGGGTGATGGAAAGCGGGAGAATGGGCCGGGGTGATGGAAAGCGGGAGAATGGGGTGGTGTGATGGAAAGCGGGAGAATGGGGCGGGGTGATGGAAGGAGGGAGAATGGGGCGGGGTGATGGAAGAAGGGAGAATGGGGCGGGGTGATGGAAAGCGGGAGAATAGGGCGAGGTTATGGAGAGCGGGAGAATGGGGCGGGGTGATGGAAAGCGGGAGAATGGGGCGGTGTGATGGAAGGAGGGAGAATGGGGCGGGGTGATGGAAGGAGGTAGAATGGGGCCGGGTGATGGAAAGCGGGAGAATGGGGCGGGGTGATGGAAGGGGGAAGAATGGGGCGGGGTGATGGAAAGCGGGAGAATGGGGCGGGGTGATGGAAAGCGGGAGAATGGGGCGGGGTGATGGAAAGCGGGAGAATGGGCGGGGTGATGGAAAGCGGGAGAATGGGGCGGGGTGATGGAAGGAGGGAAAATGGGCCGGGGTGATGGAAAGCGGGAGAATGGGGCGGGCTGATGGAAAGCGGGAGAATGGGGCGGGGTGATGGAAAGCGGGAGAATGGGGCGGGGTGATGGAAAGCGGGAGAATGGGGCGGGGTGATGGAAAGCGGGAGAATGGGGCGGTGTGATGGAAGGAGGGAGAATGGGGCGGGGTGATGGAAGGAGGTAGAATGGGGCCGGGTGATGGAAAGCGGGAGAATGGGGCGGGGTGATGGAAGGTGGAAGAATGGGGCGGGGTGATGGAAAGCGGGAGAATGGGGCGGGGTGATGGAAAGCGGGAGAATGGGGCGGGGTGATGGAAAGCGGGAGAATGGGGCGGGATGATGGAAAGTGGGAGAATTGGCGGGGTGATGGAAGGAGGGAGAATGGGCCGGGGTGATGGAAAGCGAGAGAATGGGGCGGGTGGATGGAAAGCGGGAGAATGGGGCGGGGCGATGGAAAGCAGGAGAATGGGGCGGGGTGATGGAAAGCGGGAGAAGGGGGCGGGGTGATGGAAAGCGGGAGAATGGGGCGGGGTGATGGAAAGCGGGAGAATGGGGTGGGGTGATGGAAGGAGGGAGAATGGGGCGGGATGATGGAAAGCGGGAGAATGGGGCGGGGTGATGGAAAGCGGGAGAATGGGGCGGGGTGATGGAAAGCGGGAGAATGGGGCGGGGTGATGGAAGGAGGGAGAATGGGGCGGGGTGATGGAATGCGAGACAATGGGACGGGGTGATGGAAAGCGGGAGAATGGGGCGGGGTGATGGAAAGCGGGAGACTGGGGCGGGGTGATGGAAAGCGGGAGAATGGGGCGGGGTGATGGAAAGCGAGAGAATGGGGCGGGGTGATGGAAAGCGGGAGAATGGGGTGGGGTGATGGAAAGCGGGAGAATGGGGCGGGGTGATGGAAAGCGGGAGAATGGGGTGGGGTGATGGAAAGCGGGAGAATGGGGCGGGGTGATGGAAGGAGGGAGAATGGGGCGGGGTGATGGAAAGCGGGAGAATGGGGCGGGGTGATGGAAAGCGGGAGAATGGGGCGGGGTGATGGGTAGCGGGAGAATGGGGCGGGGTGATGGAAGGAGGGAGAATGGGGCGGGGTGATGGAATGCGGGACAATGGGGCGGGGTGATGGAAAGCGGGAGAATGGGGTGGTGTGATGGAAGGAGGGAGAATGGGGCGGGGTGATGGAAAGCGGGAGACTGGGGCGGGGTGATGGAAAGCAAGAGAATGGGGCGGGGTGATGGAAAGCGGGAGAATGGGGCGGGGTGATGGAAAGCGGGAGAATGGGTCGGGGTGATGGAAAGCGGGAGAATGGGGCGGGGTGATGGAAAGCAGGAGAATGGGGCGGGGTGATGGAAAGCGGGAGAATGGGGCGGGGTGATGGAAAGCGGGAGAATGGGGCGGGGTGATGGAAAGCGGGAGAATGGGGCGGGGTGATGGAAAGCGGGAGAATGGGGCGGGGTGATGGAAAGCGGGAGAATGGGGCGAGGTGATGGAGAGCGGGAGAATGGGGCGGGTAATGGAAGGAGGGAGAATGGGGTGGGGTGATGGAAGGAGGGAGAATGGGGCGGGGTGATGGAAGGAGGGAGAATGGGGCGGGGTGATGGAAAGCGGGAGAATGGGGTGGGGTGATGGAAAGCGGGAGATTGGGGCGGGGTGATGGAAAGCGGGAGAATGGGGCGGGGTGATGGAAAGCGGGAGAATGGGGCGGGGTGATGGAAAGCGGGAGAATGGGGCGGGGTGATGGAAGGAGGGAGAATGGGGCGGGGAGATGGAAGGAGGGAGAATGTGGCGGGGTGATGGAAAGCGGGAGAATGGGGCGGGGTGATGGAAAGCGGGACACTGGGGCGGTGTGATGGAAAGCGGGAGAATGGGGCGGTGTGATGGAAAGCGGGAGAATGGGGCGGGGTGATGGAAAGCAGGAGAATGAGGCGGGGTGATGGAAGGATAGAGAATGGGCCGGGGTGATGGAAAGCGGGAGAATGGGGTGGGGTGATGGAAAGCGGGAGAATGGGGCGGGGTGATGGAAAGTGGGAGAATGGGGCGGGGTGATGGAAAGCAGGAGAAGGGGGCGGGGTGATGGAAAGCGGGAGAATGGGCCGGGTTGATGGAAAGTGGGAGAATGGGGCGGGGTGATGGAAGGAGGGAGAATGGGGCGGGGTGATGGAAAGCGGGAGAATGGGGCGGGGTGATGGAAAGCGGGAGAATGGGGAAAGGTGATGGAAAGCGGGAGAATGGGGCGGGGTGATGGAAAGCGGGAGAATGGGGCGGGGTGATGGAAAGCGGGAGAATGGGGCGAGGTGATGGAAAGCGGGAGAATGGGGCGGGGTGATGGAAGGAGGGAGAATGGGGCGGGGTGATGGAAAGAAGGAGAATGGGGCGGGGTGATGGAAGGAGGGAGAATGGGGCGGGGTGATGGAAAGCGGGAGAAAGGGACGGGGTGATGGAAAGCGGGAGAATGGGGCGGGGTGATGGAAGGAGGTAAAATGGAGCGAGGTGGTGGAAGGAGGGAGAATGGGGCGGGGTGATGGAAGGAGGGAGAACGGGGCGGGGTGATGGAAGGAGGGAGAATGGGGCGGTGTGATGGAAAGATGGAGAATAGGGAGAGGTGATGGAAAGCGGGAGAATGGGGCGGGGTGATGGAAAGCGGGAGATTGGGGCGGGGTGATGGAAGGAGGGAGAATGGGGCGGGGTGATGGAAGGAGTTAGAATGGGGCGGGGTGATGGAAAGTGGTAGAATGGGGCGGGGTGATGGAAGGAGGGAGAATGGGGCGGGGTGATGGAAAGCGGGAGAATGGGGCGGGGTGATGGAAAGCGGGAGAATGGGGCGGGGTGATCGAAGGAGGGAGAATGGGGCGGGGTGATAGAAAGCAGGAGAATGGGGCGGGGTGATGGAAAGCGGGAGAATGGGGCGGGGTGGTGGAAAGCGGGAGAATGGGGCGGGGTGATTGATAGCGGGAGATTGGGGCGGGGTGATGGAAAGCAGGAGATTGGGGCGGGGTGATGGAAAGCGGGAGAATGGGGCGGGGTGATGGAAAGCGGGAGAATGGGGCGGGGTGATGGAAAGCGGGAGAATGGGGCGGGGTGATGGAAGGAGGGAGAATGGGGCGGGGTGATGGAAAGCGGGAGAATGGGGCGGGGTGATGGAAAGCGGGAGAATGGGGCGGGGTGATGGAAAGCGGGAGAATGGGGCGGGGTGATGGAAAGCGGGTGAATGGGGCGGGGTGATGGAAAGCGGGAGAATGGGGCGGGGTGATGGAAGGAGGGAGAATGGGGCGGGGTGATGGAAAGCGGGAAAATGGGGCGGGGTGATGGAAAGCGGGAGAATGGGGCGGGGTGATGGAAAGCGGGAGAATGGGGCGGGGTGATCGAAGGAGGGAGAATGGGGCGGGGTGATAGAAAGCAGGAGAATGGGGCGGGGTGATGGAAAGCGGGAGAATGGGGCGGGGTGATGGAAAGCGGGAGAATGGG